TTCTCCCCTTGTTGGAATTTCCGGAATGTTCATGAGTAATCCGAACTCTCCACAATCGAGCGCTCGAGAAAATGTCAAGAGCAGCGTAAAATAAAGTATCCAAATGAATCTTATTTTTCGACCCCGATCGATAAGAGCTTGAAAGCACAGGTTCGGCTCAAAAGTACCGCAGGAAACGACAATTGATTTACGAGAAACAAAAAGATTTAAAAATGTATTTAAACGAGTAAGAGGAAGTGAGATTGTGCGACGCGCAAAGTTACTTCTATAGAAATATTATATTCAAGGATATATTACAACCAGTTTTTCACCAAAATGAATAAAAGAATCGTTGGGAGATTGATTTTCTCACGCCGATTATAAATTATGCTGATTATAAAGTACAGATAAGGGTAGATGAGCAACTTTCATTGGACAGCTTGAATTCAGACGGTGCTGAAAACCAGAACAAAAGGCAGCAACGGAGCGACAATGTGTTATCTAAAACCTGAATTTGCCGACGTTCCAAACGCAGCAAAACGTTTTGTTGAGCTGTAAGTCAAAATTTTGTCCAAAGTTATCACAGTTCCTACAACATTCTTCCATTAAAAGCGCTGCATAATTTGCAAACTCCCCCAAATCCTTTAAGAGATATTAAAACTTGTTAAAAAAGGAGGTCATACTTCACACACTGACAAGTAGTTCAAGTACCTCGCCGTCATTCTCAAAATGACGTGGTAATGCTCATTATTAAAACAATTAAAGCTTCGTCAAATGCTTCTGCTGGAAGAATCCGCTTAGCTAATGTTCCTTCAGAAGACGAAATGGAGTCAAGACCGTCAGCACGTCAACCAATAAACGATGCAGTACTGATCAAAGTAATCGGAAAAGTAGCCAGATGCATAGCTTGAATCCCATTGCAGCTTATCGAAGTTTCAAAGTATTATAATAAAAATGTTCTGACACTCTGATCTTTGAAGCGAATAACCCCTAGGTTTAACGCATAACGGGTGTTTTTATGACATATTAAATCAAACATTCAAACTAACGTTTTTGAGTCTGAACAAGTGACTTCTTCAGGATTTGGCTGCTGCCGCTTTTGCTTGTTACACGGCTCTTTTAAACTTGCGTCGGCTTCATTTTGGCCATCGGGAAAACGATCCAAAAATGTTTGATTACCCGTAATACCACGAGCATCAAATGGAGCAGTATCAACAGGAGTAGAAGATTTGTCGAAAGACGTTTCAGTCGAAGCGTGGAGCTCAGGCATGATTTTAGTGCAGTCCGATTTCTCATCTAAGCCATCGGACTTTCTGCGACACTGATTTTTTGCCTCCTCTTCAGTCACTGGGAAATTCTGCTCCTTCTTAGTCGCTTGTTCGGATTTCTTTTCATTTTTCGACGAAATAATTTGCTTTGGTTTTGCAGCGGTTGCTTTTAGTCGTTGCGCTGCATGCTTCGTAAATTTGACAACCTGATGGAAGCCTTCCTCGGAGGATCGGCGTACCAACTGCACTGGAAGATGTCGACTTTCTGTGGAAGCTTCCTCCTCGTCCTCCTCTTCTTCCGAAGAACTCGAGCTTTTCTGACCTTTCACTTGTCCTCCAGCTGATTTCCCCGCCTTTTGCTGACCACCTGCAAGTCCACTCAACAAGCCGAGGGCTACCTTCGCATCACCATGGGTCGCCATCTGGTCCGCAGTATCTTTTGCAGCACTTTCGGTGTTGGCAAGCTGTTCCTTTTCGACCGGCAACTTATCAGTGGTATGCTTGCTGTTGGCTGTGGAATTCTGCGAGCCCATCGGGGCGACCGGATCCGTCAAGACAGATTTTTCAGATTGCTCTCTGCCACAAGCATCGATAGTATCGGGAACAGTAGCTTCTTCCCGAGCTGTCTTCCCA